GGGGGTCGAAGGGGAAGGGTTGCGGCCCTGGGTCGGCTCTGGGCAGGTTAATAAACCCCAGTGGCGGAGCAGCACACGGGACCCTCTGGAGCTCGCAGGTAAAAATTAACCGTGTGTGTGTAAATTTTTTTTTTTTTTTCCAGATGTAAAATCTTTTTCTGTCAGAATAGCGGCACGACTGAGGTGGCATTTAAAAAGAAAACTCTACAAAGCGGCTGCTGGCAACGGCTGAACGTTGGACTTCAGCTGTTCAGGCCCCGAGAATCATCCAAGCAAAGCCGGTCTCCGTTTTAGCTGGATAAACCTTATCGCTGATAACATTTGTACATTGAATTAGCGCCCTGCTTCTGCTGCAGTCAAAGTGCTGGAAAGGAATTGAGATTTGGAAAAAAAAAAAAAAAAAAAAGTAGCTGGCTGAAGGTTTTCCAAACCATAAATAGCAGCCAATGCCTGTGACTGTTACTTCTTTCAGTTCTTTGACAGAATCAGTTGTTTTAATACGAGCTTTACAACATACACACTGTGCTTATATTTAGTTCCAGGGAATAAGATCCTTCATCAGTCTTCCTCATGAACTAAATCAGAGCTTAAGAAAAGTGTTCTTTCCTCTGCTAAATTAGGGACTCTGAATCATTAGCTATTCCCCACTACCTGAGTTTGTATTTCCCACTAACACCTCTCTAGTTCAATTACTAGTCATAATAAGGTAGCTTCCTCTTTCCAGCCTCAATAGTTTCCTTCCACAGATGTTCTGCAACAGTTACTTTCCAGCACTCTTTTCAAATTCATTACAAGTACTTTGTATCTCTGCACACCTGTAGGTGATACTGAAGTTGCAAAGCCTCAGTCTCTCTGAGACAACCTAAAAAGGCAGAGCTGTGATGTTTAGGCTTTATGGAAAACATAGATGCCTTTTTCCCCAGAAAGCATCTTGCATCCATATACCCTCCTAAAATATTATATATGCTACAGAGCAGGGACAAGTTTCTGAAGCAGCGTCCAAGGACTCTTCTGCTGCTGAAATGAGTCATAGTAGCAATTAGATGTAAAAAAAAAAAACAAAAACCCCCAACCTAAACCATTTCATTTCAAATTGCTGCTGCTTGCAAAATAATTTTGCAGCTGATGTTAAGGGGAAGACCCATTTGCCAGCTGTGAAGAAGTTTAAGGCCCTAACTGATTTGCACAGCAATTCTTAAAGTTACTGTAAATAGCAACTTCACAATGTAAAGTATAAATGTAAATGCACTTTTTCAGTTTTCCTATTTCTTAGCTCTGATGTGACACAACCAAACTGGAAGACAAACGAAATCTGAAATACACCTGTGCTCCATCAATTTATTTCAATATAAACTGAGCTACTTTTTTTTTTTTTTTCCTTTTAAAGGGTAGTGTGCTGTTTTTCAGTGAACATTTTCACTAAAAAGGCACCCCTGGTCCAAAGCAGCAAAACCAAGTTTACCTTCCGCCACCCTATCGTGCCCTGGAGTGTTTGAGCTCATAAATCTTCAGATTACCAGTACAGTGTGAGATATCTGAAATACAGTAGCAAAAGTCCAGCAGCAGGCAAAACTCCACTGGTGAAGTCATCTATGACAGGAAATTGTTGAACATCCATAGCCTGTTTCTAGTAGGGAATATAGACTAGCAATTACATGGCAGGACAGCTGAAAAAAAAAAACCCCACCAGACCCAAACCAAACAGGTTTTCAACAATTATTTAGAAAAGGTTTACATCAACTATATGTGATGATTTGCTGTTAGTGTGACAGGCTAAAAGGAAGAGTTTCTGCAGCTTTATTTTAAATAGTCTTAACCAAGAACAACTTGAATGCATTTTTTGGAATGAAGGCATAATGCTTGGCTGTAGCACAGGTTTGGATTCAATAATTTAGTGGACAGTAATGGCTTAAGTCTGTGTGATGTGACACAGCTGCTGACAGAAGGGCACTTGGAAGGTCAGCACAGCTTTACCCAGGTGCAGGAGCTCCTTAGACTACGGGCCATACACATGCAAGTGAGTGAAAAGAGAAAGCTGGCAACTCCCTCAGCAGCCTAGGGAGCTTGTGACAGTGTTGCCACAGAAAGCCTGTGGGCAAAAGGGTAGTCAAACTGAATGTTTTTACAGTACTAAAGCACCGGGGAGGAGGAAGGATAAAAACAGAGGGATAGGGTAGGTAACCTTTCCATCATCTAGTTTAACTGATGCCTCTTTAGGGGCAAGAGAAAAGGCCATAAGGCAACAGTGAGCAACAATCTCATGTCCCATCCAAAGCATCTGGACTAGATGGGTTAAATAGATTTGGAGAACCCCTATGGGAAGAAAAGTAATACTGCCAGAAACAAGTCACCACACTCAGCTGACAGATTGGTTTGCTAGATATTCAGAAGGACTTCAAATAAAAGATCCCTGTCCAGAAGCTCATGAGTAACCTAAGCTACTACAGGACCAGAGGAGAGTATCCTCACTGGGATAGAGAGACGATTAAAAGACAGAAATTGTGGGGTATGGAATAAAAGAACGGTTTTCACACTAGTGGGGGGTTAACGGTGGAGTCAAAGAAGATTTGTGCTGGGATCTACGCTCCTCAACAGTATTTTAAAAAAGGAAGTAGGGTGAGGTGAAAATTTGCTGGAGGTCAGTCAAGGTAGTAAGAATGAGGAGTGACAGGTGAACCTTCTAATGCTGAGTGACCAGGCACTGTAACAACAAATTATATCCAGCACAGGTAAATGGGGTGATGTACACACTGGGGAAAAAACAACAATCCCAGTTCATGTGAACTGAATGACTTGACTTAACCCCTCATTTATTAGATCCTGGCATTGTAACTGTTCTTTAAATAATCATCTCAGTAACAAAAAAAGCAAGCTGTTTTAACTAAAAGTTACCATAATTTTACATACTTACCATAACACTAAGTTATTACAAGGACCCTGTAAACACCCAAGTTGTGAATACAGTGAGGGGAATGGAACTGCCTGTAGAACCAGCAAAGCTTAGGGAAAGGACAACACAAACAATCAGGGGTATCTGATAGTTTCCCTGTAAAGGAGTAACCAAATTGTCTAAAGCTGTCCAGGCTGGTAGAGGGATGACTGGGAGGAGGGTGGAGAAGGAAAGAAACATGACAGAGGTCGATAAAAGCTGAGTGGTTTGGAGAACAGCTGCAGCAAAAGTCTTGCAGCTTCTGCAGCTGCTGGTGAGGCCAGACGTTGCATCCCTGACAGCAGTTCATCTCCAGCTGTGCCTTCCAGGCCCTCCAGCAGAGGTCAGGGAAGGCAGCTGGTAGGCAGCTCAAGACCACAGCCGAGCTTCAGAGTCTGAGCTTTGCTTTTGCATGCTGTCCTAATGAATGCAGTAACTTCATCTACTGATAAAGTGGTTTCCAGAGGAACTTAAATGAGCAGAGAGAGTATTTATATGAACAGAATAGAGAATATGCTACAGAATATTTGGGGTAACATTTCTTTTTCCCCCAGAAACTGTACCACAGTGCAACTTTATCACTTCATCAATGGCTCTTCAGGAGAGGAGCAGAAAGAAACTACAGACAAAAAATGGCTTTAACAGAAGACACTGAAATAGTTAAGGAGAGAGATTAGTTTTACTTAAACACCTGAGAAAAGTCAGTATGGAAGAGTACTTGCTGCATCTGAAGACCAGTTACTTTTACAGGTACAGACCATAGTTTTTCAAAGATCGTTGTCAGGATTTGCAATAGCTACTTTAAAATATTTAACCTATAAAGCCTGAAAGACAGAGATCTTGATGCCTGGTCTGTTTGTTTCAAGACTGCTCACTAGTCAATGCAAAAATATTCCAGGACGGCTCCTCTTCCTCTCTCCCACCCCACAAGGCAGAGGATTTCTGAGAAAAGGCTCGTAACTTCAGGAAAACCAAGCAAACAGACCCCACTCTCCTCAGTTGTCAGACACTCGTGGCATTCATCACAGCAGCCCAACTCACAATTCACGTTAAAAATCTTCTGCGTTACACAGTTTATGAAGCATCTGAGGAATATTCCGTAACTGATTTCAGAGGAAAACAGCTGGACTGCAAAAAAACCGCACATGACAAGTCGTAAGTGACGTAACTCAAATAGTGCACGTTTATTCTGAACGGTATTTCTAAAGAGTTTGAGAAAAACAAAAACATGCTCCTGATGTACAACAAGGGCAATGATCTAGATTAAAAATGGACCATCTTATTGTAAAGAATTTGCTCCCCCTGCAACTTAACTTGTAGCATTAAGAATGCATCTGTAAACTGCATACAGCATACCTTTGACTAAATCTTAACTCAAGAGACCAGGGGTGGTCTTAGCCAAATTAATCAGGAAGCAGTTGCAGATTCAAAAGAAACATCCAAGTCAGCAAACACTTTACAAAACACAAGACTTTGTGCATAGCAGCTGACCCTGGATTACAACATGGGGGAGAATAAAACAATCTGGAGGATCAGATTTTTACTAGACACAGGGCACCATCAAGAATTAACAAAATATCACATAAGTTTGTTTCAATTGTAACAGTATGTCATATTTAGTTGGCAGGTTTAACCATTAGCTGCATCATGTAAACTCAGCCAGTATACACAAAATAAAATCTCTCCCTTCCCCCTCCCAAAAATGAGGGATACCTCCTCCTAGATGATTCTTCTTCCCCTGTACCATGGTTTCCTCTGGTAGGAGTCTTTTGGTAGCCAATATCTTCATACTTCAACCGACGTATGACAAAACCAGTTGCAGAGATTCAGGAATAACTTGTATATACACAATTTACACACTATAGTTGTTAGTCACGTGCATTTTTCTTGCTAGATCTTCATCCAGAACAGGAAGTGCTGGTGTGGTTTTTTTTTTTCTTTCCACTGGAACTCCCAACTTTTAAAAAATGTAGTTGTTCATAAGCTGCTATTTCTAAGCTAAAAGGAGGTCCTGCTGCAGCAACAAAGTAACTGAAGTTCTCTGCAGTAAGCCCAATACTTCACACCATTTCAGCATCTCTGGGTAACAGCACTAAGATACAGCATTCTCCTCCCACACTCAACACAGCTGATAGACTAATAAAATACAACTGTTTGTCATTCCGAACTACTGACCTTCACTTGCCCTTATCCATGTACAGGGAACACAGCTTTCTATGAGATTTAGATTAAACCTTGTGTTCAAGATTCAACAACCGTTTTCCAGGATTAATAGCCTGGGAAAAGGAGTCTTGTATTTGTGGTTACTTGCTCATCCACCTCCTACAAAACATTTAATCAGAAGTTACAATGAGGCAGGTTTGCTGTGGAATAGGAGCTTTAAGAATTGTTTTCAGGGATACATTCATAGAATGATGGCAGCCCAAAGCAAAAAGAGACAGAAACAAAGGTTAATCCAAGTAAGTTCAGACATCAGACTCGTACTTTTAAACCTGAAGGAAAACTGTCTGTGAAACACACCGATTTGTGGAAGCCTACAACAACAGCAAATCCTAAGAGTTCATATCCCCACACCCATCTACCCAACCCAAACACTTACCATTTAGTTCTAGAAGAATGAAGAGCACTTTGCTTGGCACCAGAGGCAGCTATGGTCTGAGTTACAGCTGTGCTGCACAAACATCCTCAAATACAATACTATCTCTCTCCCTCCACACACTTCTCTTGGTTTGGTCTACAGATGGCCAGGGAAACTATGTTGGCATATGACAAGCTAATTGTGCTTCATTACATCCCCTTCTAGAAAGATGCTGTAACTGCCAATGTAACCAGTGCGAGCAGGTCCTAGCAGTACTAAAAATAAGCTTTTGTCAAAACTAGGCTGCCTCTGGCCAAGGAAACCATTTGCATCTTTCTAGCCAGAGTCTGCCACCGAGTGTTGCAAACACAGGTGCTCAGGCCATGCAGCGGGGCTCTCTGTTGTTGTTAGCGATCTGCCCATACCCAAGACTCAATTAGTGCAAACCCCAGCAAATAGAGTAGCCGTTTTCCAGCATAGGTCTGTCAAGAGGCACTCCCAACAAACACTACACACCTCTGGGAAAGGAGGAGTAATTCTGGAGCAGCTTGTATAGTCACCCCTCAGGTTATCAGAGACCACATAATGTGCAACGAGGGGTGCTGTCCCTTGCCTCACCAAAACTCCCATCTTGAAATCCTTGGTTCCCAAGTCACCCCCGAATGACTGGACAGCACCTACTAACCAGATGTATGCTGCAATGCAGATGAATTCAAGATGCAGATTTAAACTTTAAAAAACAAAAGAGGAAAGGAATGCAGTTCAGTATCTACTTGGGGAGTGGGATAGGTTGGTGTTGTCTCAGCTCAGTGCACTTTCCCAGGTGCTTGGAGAAGAGTCCAAGCTCAAGTTGGTATTTGTATTGGCATACATAAAATCGCTGGCAACAGTGCATAGAAAGGAGCACTGATATTCACGCAAACAAAGCATGAAAGGATGCAAAGCAGAGCTTAGTAGAGTTTACTGTAGCTTTGAGGTTACAGTACTAGGAAGAAGCCAGTCAGCCTATTTTCCAAACCCATAAAATGCTCTAATATACGCTGCTTTCTCTGGTGCTCCATGAATACCCTCTCACAAGAGGGGAACTGCATTATTACCACCGAACAGGAAAAGGGGAAAAGAATCTTCAAAGGAGCAAACTGTGCAGTTCTTAACCACCTCCTCCCGAAGGAGCACATAAACACAGCAAGCCAAGCCAATCCCAAGCAAATCCAGGAAACCCCTGCAAAGCCATGTGATTAGGGTCAGATACGTGTTTGCCTTCTCAGCCTTGCTGCCTGGTTTCCTCAACCCTTGCCTCATGCTCAGATTAGTCACCACAGATTTAGTAGCAGTGGCAAACTTATCCAGAGACGGGTGCTTGCCTTATGTGATCAAAGCAGGTAAGGTGGTCACAGTCACTTTTCCCATCCCAACAACACAGATAAAACTAACTCTCAATGAGCCCTACAGCATTTCACCCATTTTTAAAGCAAGGGTCTTGCCTCAGGATTCATATTTTTACAAGGTTACTCTTGCCCACACCAGATCTAGCTCTTACTCTGGCAGAAGTCTGCTGGGAGTTGGGTAAATGAAAAAAAGAAAAAACAAAGACCACTCTAAACCCTCCTCTCAGTCAGTTAAGAAGTGTAGCACCAGCTTGGGTGAGGAGTATTTAAAAAAAGCATTGAAAAAGATCAGCCCAGGCAGAGTGAAAAGGTATGGTAAAGTAGCCCACCCTTCTCAGCAAAAGATGGCAGTAAAAGCCATACTCAAAAATATTGGGAAGAACTAAACATACTTTTTTGAGGCGGGGAATTAAGAGGAAGAGTGGGAAGTACTGAAGTAACATTCAAAGGCTGGGGGGG